TTACTAGAGAGAGAAAGGGACCAGATAGAGAGAGAAAGGGACAGATAGAGAGAGAAAGGGACAGATAGAGAGAGAAAGGACAGATAGAGAGAGAAAGGACAGAAGAGAGGCAGAAGGGACAGATTGAGAAGAAAAGGGACAGATAGAGAGAGAAAGGGACAGATAGAGAGAGAAAAAGGGACAGATAAACAGAGAGAAAGGGACAGATAAGAGAGAGAAAGGGACAGATGAGAGAGAAAGGGACAGATAGAGAAGAAAGCGGGACAGAATAGAGAGAGAAAGCGACAGATTAGAGAGAGAAAGGGACCAGCATAGAGAAGAGAAAGGGACAGCACTAGAGAGAGAAAGGGACAGATAGAGAGAGAAAGAGGACAAGATAGAGAGAGAAAGGCGGACAGATAGAGAGAGAAAGGGACAGATAGAGAGAGAAAGGGACAGATAGAGAGAGAATGGGACAGATAGAGAGAGAATGGGACAGATAGAAAGAGAATGGGACAGATAGAAAGAGAATGGGACAGATAGAAAGAGAAAGAGAGATACAGTGAGAAAGAGAGATACAGTGAGAAAGAGAGATATAGAGAGAAAGAGAGATAGAGAGCGGGTGTTTGTGTGTGTGTGTTAAGGCGGCTCGTCACATTCGGCATTCGTTGAGTAGCGAGCGTCTGCTCGGTCAATCCCGAGCTGCTGATGTGATCGGCGAATGTTCGCTTCCGTTGATGTGTGAAAAAGAGTGACACGCGGTGAGTAGAGCGAGCAGTGAATGTTCGTCTCTGAGCAAGTAACAATCAGCCCATTCACACTACTCGGGAATCGGCGAGCAGTCACTCGTTACTCGCCGAATACCGAATGTAAGGCTGTAACAAAAATCTAGATTGTAATAGTTTAGTGAAAAATAGTGGTGCTACAACAGCACATACTTCCATTCTAAATTTGCCATATTCAAAAATCCAGTGTTCAAAAAAGCGTGCCTCCCTCTAGGAAAAACATTGAATAACATTTAGAGCGATTTTTAAGAAAATGTTTTCTTTAAAAATTGAAATAATTGTAAGAAAAAATTACGCAAAAACTACTCGTTTCAACAAAAAATATACCTGACGTTCTTTACGGGAAAAATACTCAGAGCTGATCTTTTCACATGAGACTTCGTCTCAGGCAAAAATTTCCACCTTCAATTTTGTAGTTTTGAAACGTTAATGTTCTGCAATTTCCGAAAACATGGAGAGTTTGCCAAAAATGGGACTAGCACCATAATTTTTTACCGTCCCATGATATATACAAGAAGAACATTTGGAAAAAATTGAGAACGGTTTTTGCGAAAAGAGTTATTGAAATAAATTTAAATTATATTTCGCCCACAATTAAACGAAAACTACACATATTTTCGAAAAAAATTGATCATGACCTTATTTTAAGGCGTAATTAGAGAAGAGATTTTATTAAGGAAAAAATCTCTCCATTATGTTCAATATTGTAGATCTAGAAAGACACAAAACATAGCATATCTGCAATATTGGAAAATCAGAGATTTAAACAAACATGAGACGACTTTTATGCTATCTGAAGACAAAGTTAAAAAAAAATTGTTGCCTTTTTGAGAAAAGCTTGAAAATATTTTTGAGGCTTTATGTAAACTATCCTCCAAAATCAAAATGTTCGTTTAAAATTCTCAAAGCCTTGACTTCGTTTAGATCGAACCATGTTTTCATGCAATTCTGATATTTATAATTACACGTAAAAATCACGTTCATCAAGTGTCAGTATCAACAGCTCACTACCAGAAATCCGCATGCAAGTACGTTACTTTACAACGCATTGTCAGTTGACATTAAACAATTGAAGTCGGTTTACAAGTTTAAGTTAAAAGTTAAATCATTTCTGCTGCATAAATGTTTCCATTCAGTTAGAAGCTATTCTGATTATCAAAAAGAAAAATAATCTTTATTTTAACAAAACAGTGATATATAATGAATTAGTTTACTTTCGTATTGTATAATTTGGTAAGACTTACTATGTTTGTAACAAATAATGTACTTCAGCTTCCGAGTCAATGACCCTCATCTCGATCAGGTTTTTGTGCAGTTTCCCTGATACATTGAGCAAATGCTGAGATGGCCCCTTGTTTTGCTTCTGGACGTAAGTGTAGGTTCACTATGCGCACGTTTTGTTGAACTCTCCTTTTGCTTGTAATGGTAGGAGTAGAGGTAAGGGCGAGTTACTATTTTGTTAGCAATACAGAAAAAATCAAATCTGCATTTAGTTTTACAGTCACAAATAAGTTTTTCTATAACTCGGGAAAGAAAATATTTAGTTTTTCAAGTTTTGCAAATCTCGCGCTTTTTTAAATTTTATATATTTATCTTTGACTGTTACTCATCTTTCTGCTATTTATAGTTGAGATGATGGGAAGGGATTCTGTAACTCAAGAAAAGTGCGCAGATGATCTTCTCCCCTATACGTCACATACGTTGTTTTCACTGTTGGTTGAATCGTTGGCAACTGTGCTTACTGCGCTGCGTCTCCCGTGTAGCTAAGTAATTACTATTTCCGGCTGTGGAGCCTACATTCTCACATCTGTAGATGTTCCAGACTAGTGAAAAATTTAATCTTCCCTTTACTAAGTATTTATTCTTGTATATTTATAAGTATATACAATCTAGTCATGCGCGAAAAATCGTCACTTTATAAATAATTTATGAAAAGTGAAAATTAATTTAATCTAGCACCAAATGCGAACGCCCATTCGCCGAAATGAGGTTTACAACATTTTAAACCGGGTACCGTGCCAGAGAATCCATTCCAATATTGCTAAGCGTTTAAAAAATGCACAGAAAATAAAATACACTCTTTAATTTTATCATGAAAGACCATTTCGGTATTTTCCTTCAATTTAATTTTACATTAAAAAACTGTAAAAAGTAAAGTAAAAAAGGATTCTCATAAAAGTCGTACTTTTGTAGAATACTGCTCAAGAACATAATCCGGATCCCACCTGTTCCTGTATATTTTCCCACTGTCCCCAATCCATCCTTCACTTGCACCCGAACTGTCCCTCACTATTTCCCCATTTGTCATTTATCACTGCCACAGAACGCGTCTTATGTCAGAAATTACTTGACCTAAAAGAAAAGTCATGTCCCCCTGGCACACGCAAACTTGGTTTAAAATGTCTGGGAAGCATTTCTTCCGAATTATTCGAGATTTTATTGTGTTGCAATAATATTTTTTTTGGTATATCATAATCTGAAAAACTTCTATTTTTTCTACTGAAATGTGTACGATGTACCTTGGAGTGTAATTCTCTATCTACCAGTATCAGAGTACAAGATTTTGTGTCAATGTCTTTTTATAAACTGCCAAAAGCTATCGGCTTTCGTATGTACTTGTACTTAAGGAATAATCCATCTGATTTTCTTTAAAATTACTATTCCTCAATCATTCCAGCTGATGTCGCGGCCCATGGAATTTGAAACCGATATATTTTGGTGGGCGGGTGTGCTTTACATAAAGCCTATCGAACCTTCTCAAAGTTAAAAGAAAGTGAACCATTTTTTTTATTAAACTTAGTCCTAGGATAGGATAATGGACGCATACGAGAATGGTGCTGGTCTCATTTTTGATGAAATTTCTAATTTTTCAAAAATTACAAATATTACATTTATCGGCGTCTTCCAACAACAATAATGTTATAATAGAGATTTTTTCTTAAATAAAATTGTTTTAAAGTTAGATCTTGGAATTAGGTTATCTTCAACTTTTCGAAAATACGAGTGGTTGTCGTGTTATTTTCTGCAAAATTTAGTCATTAAAAATATTCAAAAACTGGTCAAGTTTTTTCTTTAAAATTTCTCCACACATGTAATAAGTCGGTACAAAATGTGATGCATTTGCGGGAATCACTCGGCTCTTTGAAAAGTGATAAATGTCCACATTTGAAAACTACAAAAATGAAGATAGAGATTTTTGACCCAGGCAAAGTCTGTTATAAATAATCAGTTCTTTTATTACGGTGATGTAGAATTAAATAAAACCAGTAGTATTGGCGTTCTTTGCGCTTGAAATTTACGCAATTTCTAAACAAAATCTTTTCTCAAAAACTGCTCGAATTTTTTTTTCGGCGGATAGAAGGTTGAAAGAAGGTTGAAAGTCTTATTTTTGCTGAACTCTCCCGATTTTCGAAAATTGCAAAAACGTAACATTTTGAAACTACAAAATGGAAGTGTACATTTGTGTGAAAATTAGTAGTTTTCGACGATTTCTGCTTCAAATTAATTATATCATTTGTATTAATTATCAGTTATCCTACCAACTACGTGTCACGATATCCTCAGAGAACAGACATGGATCCAAAGGATACGAAAAACTAAATTTTAGTTAATATTTACTATTGAAAATACAATATTAATTCTATTTTTACTATATTCTACAATTTATATTCTCCGTGTATTTTTATTCAAGAAATCCACAAAAGTTAATTCAAATATTCTCAACAATGCCGCGATGGATATTTGAAAAGTTTGTTGTTTAACGGTAAGATCGTGGTCGCGATAAGAACTGCGATAAGATAAATGGTTTTTATTCACCGATGAGCTTGTGTTTTACCATTGCACATTAGTATTTTAGAAATGGATCGATACGTATTTGATATTCCACGTTTTTGTCCGTGTTGCGTGGTATAAATCATACATGTCCTATACTGAACATATTCTATACTGAAAGAAAAATCACTTATCTATGCATATTTCGTAATTACAGCAGCAATAAATTTAGTATTATAGCCTTTCAAAATTTCAATGAGCTTAAAGTAATACAGTAGGACGTCGAAAAATTGATAAGAAAAATTCACAAAGCATATATGCAAAATGAATGTCTAATAGTTTTGACAACGCTGCGCTGGTAACTCTGATGCTCGCTTCTGTACAATTTGCTGCGATCACTGTAAACGTCAAATTTATTCCTGTTTGTTCATTTGTAAAATCAGAAATGATGGCTGCTCCTGACTATTGAAATGAATGCAGATAAGCATCACGCTTTATTTGCATTAAGCGTTTTCGAGTTAAAATATTACGTAGCTTGTTTTCAAAATCCGAGAAAGTATGTGCGGTTGTAACAACACTAGTTACTTTCTCGCATACGTACGTATATACGGAGTGATATTCATAGTATATATCTTACATGTAGCTGGTAATTCCTGATTGCTAATTTGAAATTCTAAGAGAAGGTGTGGAGATGCCCTGGTCTCACGTTAATTAGGTTGAATTAAATATAAAAAAATCATTTTTTACATTCGATATACTTTATTTCACAATTATTATGTACTAGGACTGTACATGTGATTTAATAGAGGTCCCTCAAAATGAAAAGTAGTATATATTTATTCATTAATTATTAAATAGTAAAACTTATTTTCCAGTTGGTGCTCGCCCCAGACCATCCCCACAGCATGCCAGTCGCCCTGAGTGGCGTGTCCTCCCCGGCGGCCAAGGTGTCGTGGGGGT